CCCGTAGGCCGGGCTAACTGTTCCATCATAGGGTGCAATACAAGAAGGTAATAACATCAAGGCGTACCCATGGGATGTGGATCGTAGTCAATGGCGGCATATTACAGTCGGGGCTGCTTAGGCCTATTGGGAGTCCGCGTGGCACAGTGGCGAGCAGCGAGCGCGGCGTAAGTCCCCGGCAACCCTCACGCCACCACCGACGCCGCTCCTAAGACCGACGTCATAGTCGGCGACGGACCAAGCGATGGAGCGATCGCGACCATTGCCCGACGCTTGTGCACTTTGCAAGCGATTGCGCAATCGCTTGCCAATCGCTCGACCAAGAGCGATTGGCAAGCGCTTGTTCTCGCTCGCGACTATGACGTCGGTCTAAGCAGGGATGACCCCGATGCTCTTTAGCTTATGCGAGGAGCAAGGCGTCCGTGCCGGCGCAACACATCCAATAAACAAATAATACCCTGACATGGTAAGCGACGTTGCTTGCCCTAAACCACTTTGCCCTTATCCTACTAACTATAAAGCGCTTCGTCTGTCGTCTGTCGTCTGTCTGTGTGTCTGTCACGAAATTCCCTAGCTCCTCGGGATCCGCCTGGAGGGACCGGGTCAAGTGTGGAATGGGTGGGCAAGGTCTCACGAAATACAAAACACACATCAGCTAAGCGGAGCCCCGCCCACAGAGGGCGTGGCGTGCGTCGAAATGAACTGTACCGAAGACCAAGGTTTCGATTTCAGTGACAAAACGACCTCGAAACTGGGCCAAAAAGTGGGTAAAGGTGTGCATTGGTAAGTCACATCGAATTAGGGAGACCCACCCCCGGTGGGCGGGGCGTTCTCTAAAAAAGCAGTGCTTTATGAAAAATTTCATAACTCGGTTGGGAGAAAGCCTACAGAGCAGAAAACAATTTGGTGTAAGGGAGCAATGTCTAAGGTGTTTCCTGCATACATGACGTGGGCGGAGGCCCGCCCAGAATGGGCGGGGCGCGCTCTGAAGTGTACAGCATTTTCTACAAGTCCTCATAATTCGGGCCGGGGAAGTCTTAAAGAGCCGGAAAAAGGTGGATAGAGGTGGGTAGGAGTGGAGCCCAGCTGTCATCGGTGGGCGGGGCTTGACCAAAGTGGGCGGAGTTTGCGACGAAAATTCATAACTCGGCTCCAAGAAGTCCCGGAGGCACGGGAAAAAGGTGGATAGAGGTGGGTGGAGGAGAGAAGCTTAAATACCCTTAGTGGGCGGAGTTATCACATTCATAAGAGCATGGGGTGGATGAAGTAGCAGAGCTAGAATATCATTGGTGGGCGGAGCAAGTCCTAGGTGGGCGGAGTTACCCAGGAAAATTCATAACTTGGTTCCAAGAAGTCCTGGAGAACGGGAAAAAAGTGGATATAGGTCAGCAAAGAAAGAGAAGTTAACTGCTACGGTTGGGTGGAGCGTGCGCTAATGTGGGCGGAGTTTGCGCCGAAATTGTAATTCGGCTCCAAGAAGTCCCGGAGGCAGGGAAAAAGGTGGATGGAGGTGGGTGGAGGAGTGGAGCCCAGCTATCACCGGTGAGCGGGGCTTGACCAAAGTGGGCGGAGTTTGCGACGAAAATCCAGGGGCCGTATTGCAACAAGCCCCGAAGGTTTTCGGGGATATATCCCCGAAGTCGTATGCAACAAGCCCCGAAGGTTTCGGGGATATATCCCCGAAGTCGTATGCAACAAGCCCCGACGATCGTCGGGGACATATCCCCGAAGTCGTATGCAACAAGCCCCGACGATCGTCGGGGACATATCCCCGAAGTCGTATGCAACAAGCCCCGACGATCGTCGGGGACATATCCCCGAAGTCGTATGCAACAAGCCCCGACGATCGTCGGGGACATATCCCCGAAGTCGTATGCAACAAGCCCCGACGATCGTCGGGGACATATCCCCGAAGTCGTATGCAACAAGCCCCGACGATCGTCGGGGACATATCCCCGAAGTCGTATGCAACAAGCCCCGACGATCGTCGGGGACATATCCCCGAAGTCGTATGCAACAAGCCCCGACGATCGTCGGGGACATATCCCCGAAGTCGTATGCAACAAGCCCCGATCGTCGGGGACATATCCCCGAAGTCGTATGCAACAAGCCCCGACGATCGTCGGGGACATATCCCCGAAGTCGTATGCAACAAGCCCCGACGATCGTCGGGGACATATCCCCGACGACCTTCGGGGCTTGTTGCATAGGGTCGTCGGGGAGGATTCGTCGGGGATGAATCCCCCTAGTCTCGACTAGGGGGATTCATCCCCGACGGCCTCCAAACGTACGTGTTACTTGAGCTAACTCAGTGGTCAGTCAGTTGGACTGTCGACGCGTAAGCGTTGCGGTCCAGCCGACCTCGGTGATGAAACGATTTTACGTATATATCCCACCCTGCGCCGGTGCAATTGCGTACCGCAAGCGATTACAGTACGCCCACGCCTAGTTCTACTGGCGTTGACAGTTGTAACTGATGATCACAGGCGGGGCTCGTGATGAAAGGAAATGGGAAGGCTAATCAATTCATAACTAGCACAGCTCCGAATATTGTACTGAGTTGAGCCATGCATTTCTCCTCTCGGATAGGTGACGGGTACCGACAGATGCTCTACATATCGTTGGAAAACCATTGCGCGCTTGGAAACCACTCTAATTCCTTATGTCATTTTCTTCTTAACATGCAAAATAGGGTAATGTGCTAGGGTATTTATATTGTTCCGCACTAGAACAATCATTGATGTCATTATGCATTGTACTAGTACAGTGAGGGACTCGAAGGGACGAAGTTTACTTGGCACCTGAGGGAAGAGAGAGTTCTAATTCGTGAGGTAGTTTTCATCATGAACTGCTTAGTAGTTGCGTCTCACGGCCACCTTGTTTTCGAGTTGTAGTTGATTTATTCGCAATTGTAGATATTCCATAGACATAGAAATCTGATACGGAGGTATCCTTGTGAGGATGACTTGTGCTGAAAGTGAGAGCGCATACTTGTAGATGATAGGCACGGGATATGTTCATTCTTTCTGTAAAAGATGCCGTAAAATGTGATTCAGTTCCATTCGGAGATAATCCGCTTACAGGAGCGTTTGCGTTACCGTTGCGAATCAATTTCTTGAGGCGCTAGTGTACTCAAAAGGGGCATGCTCACGCTGACTGAGCCTTGGAGAAGAGGGTGAACTTTGAGGGTAATGAAAACTGCTTACACATCCCCCTAGACTCACAGCCTAGTACTAGGGGGACCAGCAGGGGGGGAGGAGCGTGATGACTTGGCGCTTTTATTCGCCAACCTTGTGTGGGATTTTACAGCTTCTGCGTTGGAAGATAATAGCAGTTCTTTACGTAAGCTGTGAGCAAAAGCTTAACTATTGCGCTATAAATGGGAAAACTGTTCTCCACGATTCCAATCATTTTGCATTAAATGTTATGTTCAGTGTTCGCTTCCACTTTTGCTGCATAGGAGATAGGAATTTTTTATATCCACTACCACAAATATTCACTGCTGACGTCTCGAAGATATATGCAAAAAACTGCTAGGCTAGATATAAGTCATCTAGTCTTATTATTTCCTCTCATCACAAGTTCTACCCGTAGTTATTCAATCGAAAACAGGGTGCCAACGATAGCGGAACTAGCCGTGAGAGTACTGTAATCGCCTGCTGTACGCAATCGCACGGGCGCAGGGTGGGATAAATACGTAACATCGTTTCATCACCGAGGTCGGCTGGACCGCAACGCTTACGCGTCGACAGTCCAACTGACTGACCACTGAGTTAGCTCAAGTAACACGTACGTTTGGAGGCCGTCGGATCTCCGACGACCTATGCAACAAGCCCCGCAAGGTCGTCGGGGATATGTCCCCGACGATCGTCGGGGCTTGTTGCATACGACTTCGGGGATATGTCCCCGACGATCGTCGGGGCTTGTTGCATACGACTTCGGGGATATGTCCCCGACGATCGTCGGGGCTTGTTGCATACGACTTCGGGGATATGTCCCCGACGATCGTCGGGGCTTGTTGCATACGACTTCGGGGATATGTCCCCGACGATCGTCGGGGCTTGTTGCATACGACTTCGGGGATATATCCCCGAAGACCTTCGGGGCTTGTTGCATACGGCCCCAGAACTCGGCTCCAAGAAGTCCTAGAGATAGGGAAAACGGGGTTAGAGGTTGGCGAGGGAAAAGAGATCAGCTGCTTCCAAGAGGTCCCAGAGACCGGTGAAAAAAGGGGGGGTAGAGGTCGGCGAAAGGAAGGGGGCCAAATGCTATTGGTGGGCGGGGCACGCACCGAAGTAGGCGGAGTTTGCCACGAGATTTATTGTCCGGAAGCAGTCCGGAGACCGGGAAAAAGAGGATAATGGTTGACGAAGAAAAAGAGGTTGAAAGCCGTCGATGATGGAGCGGATAGAATTTAGCTGAGAATTCAGATATTCGTGGTGTATCAAGCCAAATTTGAAAATTTTCGTCGCACCATCAAAATTCGCCGCAGATCTGTGTTGCGCGCGCAATGCGTGCGGCGCCAACTGGTACAATAAAGGATGGAAACCCTACAGCGCGTGAGTCCCTTTAAACGCAGTTAGCGGTATATTGTGGTCCACAGTGTACTCGCCCTGTATGTGGAATAAAATCACGCACAGCCTGCCACTTTTATCCATTTAACTCATTTGAAGGGTACTGAAATTCGACAGCGTTACGGAAGGATATGAGAGCGAGAAAGCAGCTTCTGATCGACTCCGAGCAGTTCATGCTTTCCCCCTTTTGTTCGCGAATCTTAAGCCCTTTTACTCAGGCATCTGCAAGCACAAATAAAATTCGACTCACCATCAGTAAAAATTGTTAACAGGCAGATTTCATTTAAGTAATTCTATAGAACAACGCACAATTTATTTAGATTTAAATTGCAAGATCCACTGGGCATCAGGTTCACACTTCGAGAGATCATAAAACGCAGACAAAACAATATTAAGTACATTAAGTGAAGTTATCACAGAACTGGGTCACCGCGGACTTGTCCGAATTGTGAGTGGTTCCGAAGGCTCACCAAGGCTTCCATCCAAATGAACGGCCTACAAACTTTCCAAGTGACTTTGCAGTAGCCACCATAAGATATTTTACCCACCTGCAATTGTACATGAATCTCCACGCCAGATTCAACATCAGAAATTCGGGCGGCATTATTCGGCGCCCTCACTACACCACTTTCAACCCCGTTCGTGAGCACTTTGTAACCTGATAACAAAAAAAATTCATGGAAGGTTCAGCATGTAGAATCATTAATAAGCTTCAAACACACATTTAACCATAGGCAAATCCCAGACGATTTCAAAACAACCATTGTCCAATTCACGTGCAACTCGCAAATTGCACGGTTCTGGGTTTTGTGCAGCCTTCACCGACTCCAACTCGCTTTTTAGTATATTAACGTCTTTCTAAATCAAAAACTGTTTCATTCATAAGGGAATTTACGACACTTTTCACCAACCGAGAATCTATCTGCCATTTCCACGAGTAGTCTGCTCAGCTCATCATTTATTCGAGTGAGATTTTCGTTCTCCTCCGCCAAGGCGGAGACACGATCTTCCAAACACATAACACGCCGAACAATTGAATTCTTAAAAAAAAATTCTGTGCAGTGAATACGAAGAAGATTGCAAACCAACTATGCAGCCATCTGGGCACGGAGTGAGCTACACAGCGCATACGGAATGTCTGTAGCGAACCGTTCGCATAGATGGAATCGAGTTACCATTACAATAATTATGTTTTCGTCGCAGAAACACCGTGACTCATACTTCGTGATGTTAGTCCAGGTACTACAGAACAAGAGCCATTATCCAAATGAATGATCGTTCGTAACCAACCTCATCACGATTATCCCTACTCCTTGATGGTCCCATGTCAATCGAAATATCCGACACTACAGGAGTAGGACTTGGACGAGATTGATTGTGCTTAAATTAATAGCAAATCTACGAAACAGGATTAAAACACGTCCAAAAGAATTTTGGAAAACTCTCATTTGAAGCAGTGAATCCATCGGCAAAAACGCCTCAAACTATTCCTATGCAAATTTCCTATGAGGTACTATTTCGTTAAGATAATCAGGAATTAAATTTCCTTGCTTCACCTCGTTCGACCGCCTATTGGCCGTACTTCGCTCGCTTTTAGCCTCCGAAGAACGGCAGGGTTCAGCAAGATCGATGGAATGTCGACTATTTTTTGATGTTGTCTGAAGCGTAATCTAATGAACACAAACTCGAAATTTAACTCGTTTAAGAGGAACAACTTACGCGTTTTGAGTGCTCAAACTGACGAGATTGCTGCTTTGTATCGTCATCTTGGTGTACTGCTCGCTCTTGCAAAAACGCACGTGCACTGCGGTCCACTCTAGCAGTCGTCGCGGTGGAGGCCGTACCATTCAAGCTAAACAATTGGATGTGAAGAAAATGGACATTAGGCAATAACAAATCAGTTCAAGATATTCCACGCTTTTAGTATAACCAGCTTTGCTCCGCCCGGTATCGCGCGTATCACCTAAGATTCCGCAGGCACTCCAGGTATATTTATCACAGCTCTGTAAACACTCGGCCATTCTCCTGAATTTTGATAATTTAGCGGTGAATAGGGTTATGGTGTTAGCCTCACAATTAAATTGCAACATTATCATAAGTGAGCATCTAATGCTGATCCTTCATTCACAGTGTTCGCAAATCCTAAGCTTTGGCGGTCATTAAATGAGTTCTGGTCTTCTTGGTATTAGATCAAGAATGGAATGTACCATTCGCCAAGAGTCTGCTCAAGCCAAGCTGATTATATCGATAGAATGTCCACGACCCACCCCTAATAACACTTATGAAAAGAGCCCCATAGTGCCAACGTGAACTGCGCAATGGAATTGCCGACTTCTGCCTTCTAAGACTCCTTATCAGCCCCTATCAGTTGCTATCATTTTTGTCGCCCACCTACAATGTCCAGGTACCACCCCATATAACACTTGTAATTATGAACGCTCAAGTGTCAATGTCAGCTGCTCAACGGAATGGGGACTTGTGAGTTCAAGGCGCCCTGACAGCCCTTATTAGTTTCTATCATCCTATTTCACCCACAGTGTCCCGGTACCACCTCACATAACACTTGTAAGTAACGCTCTAGTGTCAACGCGAACGCTTGAGTCAAATTTAATGAAAAGAAAAAATCGAGAAGGATTGGGAGAAAAATTAAAACGAAAGTAAAAGGAAACAAAGGAAAGTAACTGACGAATACACAGGCGCGGGAAGCAGTAAATGCCTAAAACCTCGCTCGAATTTGTCGCCGCGTGTACGACGTCGCGCGGTGACTGCCCACAGGCCTAATCCTTAGCTCTTGCTTTACAGCCAAACCCCGAAATGAATTCGATCCTACTGAATGGTTGTTCTTATACTGGTAGGAAAGTGGTATCACAATCACGATATCTTTCGCCTCTAGTCGACCATTTTGCGGACGGACAGACAGACGTGCAAACACACACAAACAAACCGACACACCAAACTTCTGGTTTATAATGAAGTGATTGACCACCACCGATTTTCTACACCCCAATATGCATATTAAAAAAATCATACAAGTCCAAATACTGAAAGATGAAGCATCGTTGAATGCGCGAAATGAACTAAAATTCGGGACAAGGATCACATATGTATCGATATGAGAATCGTACTACCAAGATTTTCAGCTGTATTCTAATAATATGTGCTATGGATCTAACCCATGCCGCAAACTGCCCACTTTATATGCGAACGCTGCTTAACAATTAGCTAACAAATGGACAAAACTCGAAGTAACATGGATGTCTTCTATTAGGTACCGGATATCTTAGTGTCGTTTTTTCACCACGAGTTTCGGACCACCAATATTTTAATTCAGAATCCGGGGAGTGAAACAGCATATTCATCGAATGACTCATTAGCACTTTCCCATTTACCAGTATGAGTGGAAACCTCGTACGATTAAAGCTAGGAATTTTTTGAGTCGAAAAAGAGAGGTAGGTCGGTTTTGACATCATCTGACAAATCATCCCTCTCACTTGCTAAAAAGTTAGGCCTGGACAAAAGAAGTATACAGTTAGTTAGAGTAGGGTCTGCACTGTATGGTGGAAAAGTTAAAACTTACCAGCTCAACTGGACAATTTTTCCGGAGTCTTTTTTGCCACATAGGGTCAAAAACGCACCCTTTTTGAGCACACGTGAGTAGCAGATGAGCACATTTATTAGAATTTCTTGTGCAATCAACTTCGTTAAAGCGTTTGTGCATCATCGATCAGTCACTGCTAAGGTGTCCTACCATTTCAGCACAAGACTGGTGCAGCCCCGTCTCGACTGATTTAACTAGGGCCACCTTTTTGACGACGATTGCGGGCATCACTTCAAAGACTTCACTGTCTTTTGAGAAAACTGTGAAAAACCGATGAGCATTTTAAATGGTAGTATTCCCTCCAACAAATGCAATGTTGTTTGGGGGCGAAAGTTATATAGTCGATATCCGATAGTTGGGGTAGGTGTGTCACCGGAAGTGACGTGCACTTGATAGAAGTTGCGTGGATAAGCTGCTTCCAGCATACATCGCTGGATATCAGCAAAGCATGCTGGCAACAGCTTATCCACGCAACTTCTATCAAGTGCACGTCACTTCCGGTGCCACACCTACCCCAACTTTCGGATGTAGCTCTCAGCATGAATTTTGAAGCATTTGGTACACACATGCTAATTTGCACATTGGACTCAGGATTTTTTGACTACATCACCCCAATATGCATATTAAAAAAATCATACAAGTCCAAATACTGAAAGATGAAGCATCGTTGAATGCGCGAAATGAACTAAAATTCGGGACAAGGATCACATATGTATCGATATGAGAATCGTACTACCAAGATTTTCAGCTGTATTCTAATAATATGTGCTATGGATCTAACCCATGCCGCAAACTGCCCACTTTATATGCGAACGCTGCTTAACAATTAGCTAACAAATGGACAAAACTCGAAGTTAACATGGATGTCTTCTATTAGGTAGCGGATATCTTAGTGTCGTTTTTTCATCCACAGCAGTTGAGGACCAACCAATATTTTAATTCGGAATCCGGGGAGTGAAACAGCATATTCATCGAATGACTCATTAGCACTTTCCCATTTACCAGTATGAGTGGAAACCTCGTACGATTAAAGCTAGGAATTTTTTGAGTCGAAAAAGAGAGGTAGGTCGGTTTTGACATCATCTGACAAATCATCCCTCTCACTTGCTAAAAAGTTAGGCCTGGACAAAAGAAGTATACAGTTAGTTAGATATAACGTTGAAACAAGTTTGCCATCAGCATCGAAAGGACAATATCGTTCCAGGTATTTCACAAGAGCATCATGCGCTCCAGTATCCGGCTTGAACGATCGCCCCTTTCCTTGGCTATATAACCACTCTCCTGCATTTTGCTTTCGTAACTTTCGATAATTCCAGAGCAAAATATGATCACAAACCTTTCAGCTGTTCTTCTTCGGTAACTACGAAACCATCGATGTCTTGTAAAGAAGGCAGAACCGACAAGACATATATGCGATAATCGAACGATGGGCTTGATACACAAGAGTTGTTGGCTGGAACACATTTATTAGAAACCTAATGAATGAGAGAAGTTTAGCTGATGAAAGGTTTGCACACCTAAAGAAATCGATTCAATTTTCTCGAGAGAAAGCAACCGCATGAATTCCGTGAGATCTTCTATATTATTAGAGGCGACGTTAAGAGATATGAGATGCTCTGGGAAAACAGCTCCCTAAAATAGGCCTGGAATCAATACTATATTCCCAACTCATTCAAATGACAAAAAATAAGCAAACCATGAAAGACTGCGTCTTCGGTAGTCTGCCAATAAAAGCTTAAACCTCTTTCCCAGGTAACTTTTACTACAAGTGGTAACTAAATGGGCGGAGGTGGCAGATATGTAAAAATATTAGTTCTAGTATGCTTCAAATGGGCTCACTTGGGATGTAAAAATAGTGAAGTAAATATTAAAAAGAAATGGAAGAGCGATACACGATATTCCAAGGTACTTCGAATATGAAACTCCCTCCGAGGCTAACCTGGATTTTGACTCATTTGGCCAACCAGCAAAGCTGAAAAATGAATAATGAAGAGCGAACAGACCTTAAGCGACGAGATTCTGTTTGATGAGATGCTCAAACGTGTTAGAGATCTCAATTTATGCAAGTCTGGTAAAGTTGCTATTGAATTCGAGCTCAAATCTAAGCATGACAGGTGAGGATTCTCGAGACCAGCCGGAATGCTCTATAAGGACTATTATGAGCCTTTCGAACGGGAATAGAAATGGAAAACAAAGTGAACTCTATAGAATCGGCAGAAAATGGTGCGCAAACCTCAATATAATTGCATGAAATATCTAATATCTCCAAATTGACAAACGACCTCAGGCAATCAATATTAGTGATCATGTTGTTAGAAAGATATAATGCTTTCAAATTTCTCGCTAGTGGAAGAAATGATGAGAGCTTGTGCAGCTGATTGTCAGTGGCGTCCACCTGAGACGATTCGTATGAACTATATGCAAACATAGGGAATTGCCTTTCAAAAGGAATATAACAAATAATAAGAGGAAATGCTTACTTGAACGCACTGCTTGAACATATCGAAGCCTGCTACATTGTTAAACTTATTGGACTTTAGAATTAGCTTTTTCACACAACCTGAAAATCGTATCTTAAGCGCAATGACAACTGATCAATTAAAATTACTACTGTATTATAACTTCAGTCCGGTACCATTCGTACCTAGTAAGTAGCTGCCCTCACCCCCCACCCCCTAGACTGCCTTCACACCCCCTGGCTCACGGGGTCCCGTACATCGAGAAACCTGTGCGCCAGGGGGAGTGTAGGCAGTCTAGGGGGTGGGGGGTGAGGGCAGCTACTTACTAGGTACGAATGGTACCGGACTGAAGTTATAATACAGTAAAATTACTTGGCGCATCATGCCCCATTTCACATTGGGACATCATCGTTTCATGCGCAGTTTTCCATACTAAAAATAATGAAGATCCAATAAGATGACATGAAAAGAAGAGAACGGCTCCCAGACAATACCTAACCATTTGGGCGCGGGCCGCGGCCGCGGCGAACGCGGCCGAGTTGATAGGTACCCGCGAACTCAGCACAGCACAGTTCGCGGGCACGCAGCGCAGCGGTCAACCAACGTGTGCGAGTCCAGACAGAAAAGCACACTGCTGGGACTAAGCCTTTCGAAGGAAGGAAAGAAAGCAGAGATGCTGTAATAGTGTGTATGTGCGAGAGTCCCAGAGAACACTACAAAACACTGAATCACCAAGCCTTCCGGTTGACCATTGCCCTTAAACGCGTTTTCAACGGTTCGCGGGCACAATCGACTCGGCCGCGTTCGCCGCGGCCGCGCCCAAATGGTTAGGTATTGTCTGGGAGCCGAAGAGAACGGCTGAGAACTAGTAGCCTTCAGTAGCTCGTGAACGTAGAAAGCTACAGTTTATCAGGAAATCAGGCAAAAGCCACTTTTAGCAAACAGTAGCAGCACTACAATAGAGCAAAATCAGGAAAGACAAGGATTACTGGAGAAAACCCAGCAGAAAGTCTCGCCCCGGTAAATTAAGGAGTGGAAACCCACCCACCGTATTCTTTCCGATATTTTCGATCAAGTTGACTCAAACCACGACGAGACAGATCCATTACACCATTTTTACATGTTGGAGGTATCCCATCTTCACATCTTCAATGCAACCAGATTGGATTGCTAAACTGGAGACAGGGAGACAATTTCTTACCTTGAATCACCACTAAAGGAACAATCATGCGACCTATTTACTGATAACTTGTCCTCATTTAGAGACTCGATAGATTCCAGTGGCCTGAGTTGGCGAAGTAATGATAGGACACGATCTTCAATGAACGAAATTTTCATTTTAAAGAATGTGCTTACGGCTCGCTGTTCATGTCACTACGCGAGGTGGTTCGGTCTTGCTCTGTGGCAGTTGAGACTGGCGACCTTGGAACTGCAGGCTGGACCGAAAAACAGAACGACTATTTATTTTATAGAAAAATCACCCACATTCCTCCGTTCTATTCTGTGATAACTAATAAACTGAAGAGCTACATCTACCACACTTTGTATAATTGAATTCATGTAAACTACGAAACAACTAACATTGCTGGTATTACTGGTACTTTCTTCTTGTGTTGCATCTTCTTCGCCTGCACCATCGCTATTCATTCCCATCGATGCGATCTGGAAATCGTCCTCAATTACTGATACAGCCAAAAAAACACCAGCTGGCAACGATAGCGGTTGAAAATAAAGTTGACAGAAATTTTCCGCGCTCCCGTCGAGTTTGCGGCCTACGCATTTTTGCACAACGTCGAAAGCCCGCCAGCCATTGTTTGCGGGTTCTAACTTTACTACAAACTTTTTCCTCATGATTGTGGGCGCTGGCGTTATTGATCATTTGCTTTAGATTAAACATCTTGCTATAACCTTATTGTGATACTTCTTGGTTTTAGAAGGCTGCAGCGGCCTTGAATTCTTGTTTTTTTTTGTTTCATTGGAACATGGTGATTTCAGATTGCATGCTTCTTGTAAGGTCGATTTTATGAGCTCATCACCTTGCTCCAGTAAATCGTCAACACCCAAAAGAAGTAGAAATTTTCTGACGAAGTCAAGACAGGATGAGGATCTCTGCGCCACTATCGATGTGCCCATTATCGACCGAAGGTTCTTATCATTTCATTTTTTCTTACACGTCTTTTCCTTTTTTTGTTGTATATTTTCTCACTTTTCTTCTTTGATTATAAGTTGCTGAGTGCCAGCTGCAGACCAGTAGCTTTAGTTATATTCGGGTAAATTATTAGAGCTTCGTTTCGTGCTGCTTTCATTCGACATTTAAATTACTCGGAAGGCAAAATTTGAAAATTACATTACATCAGTCATCAAGGCGCTCATCCAGTAAGGGGGGCATCAAGTGGCTGCCCTCACCCCCCACCCCCTAGACTGCCTACACTCCCCCTGGCGCACAGGTTTCTCGAAGTACGGGACCCCGTGAGCCAGGGGGAGTGAAGGCAGTCTAGGGGGTGAGGGCAGCCACTTGACGTTGCATCACAATGCCCCCCCCCTTACCGGATGAGTCCGTCATCAATTTCGAGCTCACTTTCTTCTAAAGAATTGTTTGCGCGTACCTAACAGGAATATTCGCAAGCATAGTCTAGTTTCTGACCCGCACAAACAAATTGAATAGAAAGCACAGATGCTGATAAACGTTTCTCGATACTGTAACGGGCTTCATTTATCGATAGCTTCCTTTGGTGAGGAAATGTTCTGCTGTCGGACCAATCTTGAATAAGAAGGGAATTTCACCAATGCTAGTGAAAAGCTAACCAGCCATCGGGTGGTGATTTTCTCAGAAATAATAAGAACAGGAATCACGACAAAAGACACCGCGGACCATTGTTACTCAAAGTAAGAAACTAGATAGTAAGAAAACTTCTCAAACTCCCTCTATCTCGATTCATGCTCAAAGGCAAAAAGATCCTCAACACAGAGCATCAGTACGCGATTGGGCGCCCACCCACAATGCACAGATTGCCCAAAAATTGATGCCAGCAGAATTCATCATAATAGGGAAGTGGCAACAAACTCTTCCAACTCAAATCCTATGGAACGCTCTGTATTGAGTGTGGATCGCCGTTAATCCTCAGGACGCACGCATAGTCGGTCGGACGACAGCAACGATCGTAACTGTCGCACAGCATTGGATGCGTATCGATCGTCGGACTTGCCTGAGTATTCGACGATTAGATGCAGTTAGACAGTCAGACAGTTGCGATCGTTGCTGTCGGACGACCGACTATGCGTGCGCCCTAACGGCGATCATTGAGTGTGTCGAAGGCGATGTACATGCATAATATCTTACAGCCAGATTGATGATCTCAACAGCACGAGGTTAGGAGAAGGTACGTATGGTCATGTAATAAAATGTCGATTTCGCCCAACACCGGACTCTTTATGGGAGTAAGTATTTATTGTGCCTCCTTATTTCAGTCTTCTTTTCACTAGTTATCTAAATTTTTCTTGTGCTGCAGTTCAAACCTACTCTGTTCCAAGTTTTACTTCAGTGCATTAAAAATGTTTAAAGATCCTTAAGATTTAAGAAAAAGGTTTTAGGAACATCGCCATAAAATATGGTACAGACCCCTCACATGCTGAAAATTTAATACGGGAAGCGAAGGTTATCCTTACTCATATTTCTCACCCAAATTGTATAAAGATTTTCGGGTTCTATGAATGCCCAAAGAATGGGATGGGTGTTGCAATGGAATTGATGGACTGCAATCTTGCCTTCCGTGAGTTTTCATTTTTCTTTCTGTTTTATAAAAGATGTAAAAGGCAAGGCAGCACAAAGGAAGAATTCCCCGCCCTTTTCACACTTTGGCGCGCGGCTGCGGCGAGCGCGGCCGAGTCAATAGTGCTCACGAATTGCGCGGGTAAGTTTAAAAACCCTCCATCAGGGGCCCTATTCAATCCTTCCCGCAGGGAGATGCATCCCTCTGAGGGAAGGATTGAATACGGCCCCAGCACAGTTCGCGGGCACCACCGGTTCGTCCGCAATCGCCGCGGCCGCGCCTCAAACTGTGAAGAAAGTGGGAGACCTCAAGGGAACAATGAGCTGCGCTCGATACTTGTGGCATTTGATTCAGAAAATTCTTTTGTTCAGGTCTTGTGAGATGAAGAAGCAGGTATTAGTCAGGTTTTTCGTCCCAGCCTTTTCATCATAGTCCACATTCGACTTTCTTGCAATCTTCGCAATACGAATACTGGAAGAGATGAGGAAGCAGGGTCAACCGTCACGTTCGAACATTTTCGGGATTTTTGCGACCCCCTAGCTCTCGAGGGGGTCCAGTTGCGACCCCCTGTTTTTGTTAATAAGAGTGCTAGACATGAATCCGTTGCGCCAGAAAGCGTCTGCGCGTCGGTCTACGGACAACTTGAACTCGGTCCTTTAAACCGCTTCGAATTGATGCTTCGCCTGCGCTCTCTCGCCTGAACAGCGGCTTATGATTACTGTGATCTGATGCATTCAAACTTTGCCACAATATAATTGGCTCACCCACTCCGGAGTCCCTCCTCCCTCCAAGGCTTAGTCCTAGGGCTCTCACCTTCCTCTTGGATTTGGAGCCGAGCCAGGCGCCGTTCTCTAATCGTCTGTGCTCTGGCCTTTCGCGGCAGAGAACATAGGGGAGAGTTCAAGTAGTAATCCTGTAACTTCGTCGGATTCGTCAGGTGCGGCTCTGGTGAGTGCGGCTGGTAAACTCTGGCTCTGCTGAGACAGGCACGGCGGCTTGCACGTCTAGTTAAACTATTTTCTAGCCCGATGGGCGATTAACTTCTTGGGTGTCTTCTTTGAGTAAGTTTTGTTGAGCTATGACGTTCGAATTGCTGTCTCGGAGTGGCTCCAGAAGACTAACAAAGGATTGCTAACTCTCGGGCAACGTCCTTGCTGTTTAGAAGTGATAAACTCAACTTCTAGGCTAATCTTTCGTATGCGACATTTTGGAAATCTGTAAAAAGTTTTAGAAACTTCAAATCTTTCTCTAACAAAATAGTATAAAAAGTTTAGTGATTGTCCCCTTTTCCAAAATTGTCCCGTTCGAACATTTTTCGTGCAAAAGCGAGTTTTTGGGCTTTCAGCGACCATAACTCACTTCATTTTCATTTCTGTGATGCACTTTTTTCATGGGGTGAAAGTACAGGATTTGCTCTTTCTAACAAGCCCAAACCGTTTTTCAAAGTTCATTTTTCGAGAAAATCACACGTTCGAACATTTTGGGGGGTTTTGCCGAACACTTTTTTTGAAATCGCGAGTTTTTGGGCTTTAAGCGGGCATAACTCACTTCATTTTCATTTCTGTGATGCACTTTTTTCATGGGGTGAAAGTACAGGATTTGCTCTTTCTAACAAGCACCAAACCGTTTTTCAAAATCCATTTTCCGAGAAAATCACACGTTCGAACATTTTGTTCCCATAGGTTTTTGAGCAGCACATGCGAGTTTTTGAGCTTTCAGCAATAATAACTTCCTTCAAAGAACTTGTTGGGGAGGGGCGAAGACATTTTTGAAGACTACGAGATTTCTGCTTTCTGTTTTACCGTTGTCTGGAAGAATCGTCCTCAGAAAATTAGGTCCCGAAGAACTTTAATTTCAGCCCCGAGAAGTCAAACCTTTCATAGGGATGCATTCAACTGTTCTTTATTCCTCAAGGAAAACACCGTAATTTGCCTAAAACTGTCTCTCTGTGCATAATAAATCGAATCTAATGCGGTCTGCACAAGCAAGTCTTGCCCTCGGATACGCCACGCACGCGCCTGTGGCTGGCAGTCCTCGAAATTGCGACCCCCTTCCGACCAAAATGCGACCCCTTCGTTCGAACAGTTCGAACGGACGGTTGACCCTGTAAGGAAGCTTGAAGCGATTACTTTCATAGTGTTCCTGCTCCGGAGATTAGGATAGTGCGCGACAATGAAAAAGATATGCGTTGAAAGGGAGATTAGGATAGTAGTAGATTAGGATAGTGAGGAGAGTAGTGCGCTGACAAGATTAGATACGTACATCGATTGAAATCGCTGGAGAGTAGTAGATTACGATATCGTAGTAGTAGGATAGTGGTAGAGTAGATTAGGATAGTAGAGAGTGGAATAGTACTCTGATAAGATTAGTTGACACGAATCTAACCCTGTCAACGCAATATCCTACCCTACTTCTATCTCGATATCCTGTTGCCTAAAATCCCAACCTCGGAAGTCGCGAACTATGAATGCGTCTTAATAAGTTAAGTTATTAGTGACAAGTTTGGCACCGCTCGCTTCCACGCTCATGTCATAGTAAGCGCAACCATATTGAAAATTCGATAAAGATAAAAGGGGACGGCTGCTTGGGCTCAGGTGCACTCCAAAGGTAACGATAACTCTATTACATCAAGTACACTGCTGTTGCGATCCCTCTCACGTCCGGAACGTAGGTTGTGCTGTGCTCCGGAAGTCGGTTCTGGCGCCTTATCACACCATCGATTGGGCGCTACTGCCTTGAAGTGCCAACTATCGGCTCATTGAGAGGCCTCCTATCCCACTGCGGCACTATTGGCCAGTGCCAGACTTTGCGACGGACTCGATTTTGCACAAATTTCGGGAGCGACGCGTCGCTTGAGCGATCCATCGCTCGCGATCGACATTCTTGAGAGGAGGGTTGCCATCCATAAGGCTGATGTCAGAGTCCGCGATCCTTTGCGCGATTTTCGCGATTTGCGCGACGGGTCACGGAAATCACAAGTGCCCGATCAATACTGCAAGGTGTTCTCCAATCCCGCCGTCACTTCTGCTTGATGGTTATGGTTTAATGAGACTGCTCATGATTCCACTTGTTTCATATCCAGTGTTTCAATTGTTCAAATGGGGCACTTGCAATTTTTGTGATTGGTTTGGTTTGATTCCTGAAAAAAATAGGAACGATTCAAGAGCATTTCAATGAACTAATAGACATTGAACATGAAACAAGTAGAACCACAAACATTCGTCTTCCAATCTTTACTGCCAAGCAGAATTCGCAGCAGGATTAAACAACACCTCGCAGTATTCATCGGGCACTTCCAACTCCTGTGATCCATCGCAGGTTTCGCGAAAATCGCGAAAATCGCGCAAATCGCGAAATCGGAAAACGGACTCTGACACGAAGTTACTAAAATCGCAACAATCGCGACATCAAACGATTTAGGATCAAAATGTTCTCTTACTACTAAACTTTTGTCGATCCTTTAGTATCCTGTCCTACTATTATAAGCGGCGCTAGCGATGATGTCTGTGTGCTGTGAACACTGCTGTGTGAGTGTGCGTCACTGTATTGAACGGAAATCTATAGCCGCAAGTCACAAGTAACGACGTGACCGCAAGTGCCGTTTCTATAATTATCAGTTATACGGTCGGTGGGATTGGGGACACAAGTGGTAACGTAATATGGGAACTGATTAAACTGACTGTAATAGACTAGATAAAGATGAGCGTAGAAGTAAAGCGGAGATGCAATTTTCGTTTTGCCCGTTCATATTTGGCTAGATGGGAGACGTCAGTACTTAACCAAGAATTCCTTATAGACCAGGGTGCCGGTCCAGGAACACTTGGTAAAGGTAACATCATATGTGCGAAGACGGGATTAGCACATAGAATATTTGAAGCATGATAACATCGTGACCATCAAACGCAAAGGACGATCGAATTAACCGCCTGCCTGGCTTCGGAACAACACATTTGACGCACCAAGAGGGCTAACACATAACTTCAACAAGTGTTACCGTGGGGTGGGACCCCGGATAGACCATGTTGGTGGGAGGCCAGAATGATACGATTGATAGGGATCGCATGAGAGACGCGACGATAACAACGCAAAGGGCGTCAAAGATTCCATAATGCCAAATGGCTACGCAACCACCAGACACCAGAGCCAGCCTATCTTACACAGACAATAGGATCATGGGGGTGACAGCCGGTCGGGCATTGTTATACACCTGACAGGCCAAATGCAAACAACCCGGAAATTCGCCAGAGAAAACTGATAACGATATGATTAAGGGTCCAACGAAAGGCAGCGAATAATATTGAACGCGAAAGAGCAGAAGCGATTCACGGTATATGCCTTGGCTCGGCAAACATTGTACACCAGCGAGTCTAGAATACTACAAGTGTTGATGAGGGGTGAGAACGAGGACATTCGTTGCTGCAAAGGCTGACCACAGAAAACTGAAACGATTGAATAAGTGGGCCGATAAGGCAGAGCCAAATAGAACCACAAAAGTGTCGGTTGTACGATGTGGCCGTGGCTCGCAACTTTTGGATCACCGAGCAAGCATATTACAATTGTGTTGTATTGTGGGTGCAAGACACGGGGACGATTGTTGCTGCGAAGTGCAGACAACTGATCACTGCTTGATAAGGGACACCGATCGGCCCGCTAGAATCGCAAAGCAGCCAACGTCGAACTTCCCATGCCATGGCTACGCAAGATTGACACCGAAGCAGGACATATTACAAGTTTATGTGAGGTGAGTACCGGGAGACTCATCTGGTGCTGGGATGCAAGAAAGCTTAGATAATCGAAAAATAATGATAAGGGACCGATTAAGGCGACGCAAATAGAACGAAGAGGCGTCGATTCCTATTGTCACTGGCCTTCGGCCGATCTGGACACCAGCACGCACTCTTGCCAAGTGTGTACTGTGGGTGTGAGACGTGGGCTTGTGCTGGCGCTGCCAGAAAACTTGAAAAACGAAGTTGATAAGGGAACCGATATAGAAGACGCGCTCGCATTAGAGAATACGGCAAAAAGCGCTATCGACTTCCCGTTGCCTGGACTTCGCCTTAGAACACCAGAGCAAAGACATAACTTACAAGTGTTATGTGGCGTGGCGGGGACTTGTTTGATTCATGAAACACACCGGTGCAGAAACATAAGATATTGATAAGGGCCGACTAGGGCGCTGCCATAGAACGCAAAAGTCGTCGATTCCGTTGCCTGGCTCGCCTTGACACCAGAGCAACCATACTTACAAGTGTTATGTGGGGTGGGACGGGGACATTGTTGGTGGGTGCCAGAAACTGATAACGATTGATAAGGGCCGATAAGGCGCGTCAGAACGCAAAAGTCGTTAGTTCCGTTACGCAGCGTTGACACTAGAGCGTTCCTACTTACAAATTGTAGTAAGTCGTAGTAGTACAAACAAAAGTACGTGCACATTATTTCCGATATATATGTCCAGCTTATTTTAATAGAATTCGACTGCATAAATTTTAAAAAACAAGTCTTCAGCGAATGATAAGTTTCATTTCTGACTATTAAGAAAACCCAATCTCATTAAACCGCTAATCCTTTCGTGGTTCTAAATAATGATGAATGTAAATGAATGATAAGCATTAGCTCCTCACTTATGTAAATAGGCATATTTCGTTTTGATTTTGAGACTGACAGCAATCCTATTCACCGCTAAATTATCTTAATTCAAGAAAAATGCTGGATGTTTACAGTTGTGGATCAATATACCACAGCTCTAGATCGGTAACTCACGTAGACATTCTTCGATGAACGCCTCCGCTTAGACTGTGGATCGCGGTCACACAATGTCATAGTGAGTATGGCTGATGAGTATCTCTATGACTGAATATTCATAGGTTTCTCCTTCCACATTTTCGCTTACAGCCGTCGTTGGCCCGACTCACATCGCTAGTCTGGGCAGCGCGAAAGTACGCGGGGCGACCAGAAAAGGCTGGACATAACACAGCTCAACCACTATAATAAAAACCCCGTACCGGACCAAACGACACACTACCTAAACCGTGAATTACTGGGAAATGCCGTAAAAGTATTCAGTGCCTTATGAATGTATTATTACTCTTTATTTCATGTTTGGCCCGTATGTATTTTGTTTCTATGGCTGGAACAACCAAACCACCGGCTTGTATTATATTGGATTTGAAATTCTAATTTTGCCAGGCGTATAGGCGTCTGATATTTCTATGCAAGACCCCGGGGGACAAACCTAGTTATTATCGTGCAGGATGATTGTTCGATATCACGATCGCGCAGCGTAAGCCGGCCTGCGTCTCAGCGAGCCGCTCGCTCAAACCGATAATTTGTAAGCGCCATCGGCCGTGCCGTCGATAGTCTGGCACTAGGCATTACAACCAGTGGGAGGACGATGCGATCAAAAAATAATTTTCGCTGAAACTTCTGCTATGGGGGTTATCGAGGGTCCTGATCACGAATATGACATCCATTTTTGGCGCTGGCGCCAAATTGGCGCCATTTGGCGCCAGCTGGCGCCACAACTGATTATCACCAAATTCGCTGTAAACTTCTGTATAGGGGTTATTTGGGGCCCTGATCACGAATATGACACTGTTTTTGACATTCGTGCTGTTTAACGCATATTTTCTGCTTTTCTAAGCTTTCTCACCTATAGCGCCTAAGACTAAGCTTAGGGGAGGGGAGTGAAACTCCGGAGTGGGTAAACCACGCACCGTGTGGCAAAAGTTGGAGTGTGTTAGACCACAGGGGAGTGGCCTACTCACTTTGGAGCCCTCCACTATTCAAAGGCTTAGTCCTGATTGCGATCTAATTAGTGCGAGGGCGCAGACGAGCAGGAAATAGGCGCCGAATAGCGCTAACAACAAAAACGAATGTCATATTCGTAATCAGGACCCCAAATAACCCCTATACAGAAGTTTACAGCGAATTTAGTGGGAATCAGTTGTGGCGCCACCTGGCGCCAAATGCCAATGGCGCCAGCGCCAAAAATGAATATCATATTCGTGATCAGGACCCTCGATAACCCCCATAGCCGAAGTTTCAGCGAAAATTATTTTTTGACCCATCTCACCCCTACTGGGGTTGTAATAGTGCAATAGTGCCCGATCGATTATGTAACTTTCCCATTCGTCCCCATTTATCGTGACCACATCCTTAAAGGACGAATTCACGATTAGAATGAAGGTCGAAGAAAAGTAATTCACCTAGTTGAGGGACCCACGGACCTCCTGAGGGTGCGAACTGAAGCGCAATTGGCACCGAAGGAGTTGACCTCGGCGACCTATTAAGGCTCAATCTTGGCGCGGTGGGCGTGCACGCCCACCGATCATCTGATCACTCGCCGCAGGTCTATACGTGGCGAGTGATTAGATAGGTGAGAGAGCGTAGTGTTGAAGAGGCACAGCGATGAGAGTCGCATCAATGCTCAAATCAACGGGCAAGGAAGGGGTCCCATTTCTCGGGTTCTGGGCCGTTTCTCATGGTTTTTCCTTCGTGTACCACTCACCATCCCTAAGGTTAATTTGAAATGGGTTGCCTTTCCAGCGTGAATTCGTCCTTTAAGGAGCTCAGGCAGATTATAGGTTGAACAGATCTCGATGCTGGCGATAACATCGCTAATAGAATGAAATGTTTCTTTCGTCGCGCGTCTGGATAATAATTTGGTGATTCCATGTTTTTCAAGCTAATCGCTGTTATCAGCTCTAATCATTATTATTTCTTCTAGTCACCCGTCAAATATGTCTCGTCCCACCCTTTAGGTCCTATCTAACACATAGCACCTTATCACTGCTGCAGCGCCATGACATTCGTGACACGTGCGCTCAAGATGTCGATGTCGATGTCTTCGTCCCAACCCACATAAAACTTACAACTACGGAAGTTCTAATTCAACAAGGACGAACACCGACAAGGAGAAATCCACAAGCCTAATTATCAGCTCTAATCAATCGTCATCTCAGTAACTATCACACATCTTTTGTGTCTCCGTCCCACACTAACATAAGCAAGAATCAACGCGCCACCGCTGGGCCGCGTTCATAGTTCGCGACTCGGGAGATTAGGATAGTAGGCGACAGGATATTAGGATAGTAGTAGAGTAGGAGATTGCGCTGACAAGATTGGATACGTATCGATTGAAATCGCTGGAGAGTAGTAGATTGGGCGACTTCAAGCGATAGATCTTAGACCGACGTCATAGTCGGCGACGGACTAAGCGATGATCGCTCCATCGCTTGTCCGTCGCTTGCCAATCGCTCTCGGTCGAGCGATTGGCAAGCGATTGCGCAATCGCTTGCAAAGTGCACAAGCGACGGGCAATGGCTCTGCTCGATCGATACCGCAGCCGACTGCATTGACTGGGGGCGGGGCCAATCGCCCGTCGCTTGTGCACATTGCAAGCGATTGCGCAATCGCTTGCCAATCGCTCGACCGAGAGCGATTGGCAAGCGACGGACAAGCGATGGAGCGATCGCGATCGCTCCATCGCTGGTCCGTCGCCGACTATGACGTCGGCCTTACTGCGACTCGCGCTACGAATTCCGGTCCACATGATCAGACACACCAACAGGCACACTTAGTCGATTATAAAGTCTTGAAAGACCCAAACAAATTAAGCGACTATACCGTCATATCGATTCGGCTTCTTCGCCTCATTTCTGTAATTAGTAGTGGTATTACGAAAGGTGGATTGTCCATAGAGTTGACGTTTATTTAGGTTGTAATAGGAAGAATTTTTGTACTGCTCTGAATAGTTTCATTTCAATATAATTCAAAAACAACTAGAGTTTACAAAATTCACACAAGAAACACATGAGTTTATCACTTTACTCCATTTTCAGAATTAATCCATAATATGTTCAGTGATATCAAAAAGAACCATCGAGTATAAAATTGATCACGCTATTTCGTGGTTATACCAGTTGTCTGATGCTGTCAACTACTTTCATTCTAGGAATCATGTACACAGAGATCTAAAATTGCAGAAGTGAGTCTCGTTATCCGTTTTTACGTTTCTTTGATTAGTGAACATTAAAAAAGTTATGACCCTCGAATTGTTACGAAAATGCTTCAATCGTCTAGGGCACCTCTTGTTCATCTTCTCGATATGGCGTTTCTCATCTTGTTATATGTTTACCCATTTCAATAAAGCACTTTCATCAAAATAGAATTTGTCTACGAAAAAAAAGGGGGAGAGAACAAAGAAACTGACGTGGTCTCCTTCATACTTCGTATGAAGGGAAGTGTTTGTTGTTTGTTTTGTTTGTTTGCTCGTGATTGTGCACACCTATGAGTATATTGAAATGAATATACAAAAGTGCTCAAAGTTAAGCAGTTGAGTGATTCTTTTCCTCACTGATATCCTCACCCTATATTTTTTTCCTTCTCTTCTAATTTGAACGTTTAGTCATTCAGAGCCAATTTTCATTTCAATAGGTTTCTTTTCATTGTTATGTACTATTTCTAGCCTTCTACTTTGTAATCGTTACCACACCCTAAAGGTGTGTGACTTCGGCACGTTTACAACGCTTCATGAGTCGATGACATTGAATCGCGGAACACCCATGACAATGGCACCGGAAATCATAAGAGGTTCCAAGAACTACACAACGAAATGTGACATCTATAGCTTTGGCATTATTATGTGGCAAGTTATAGCGCGACGGTGAGTATTACATTTTCAAACGAAGTGTTTCTAGTGATTAACCATCTTGTCCTTCACTGCATTGACACCTAATTGTAACGTGAAAGCTCTTTCTAATTCCGTGCTAAGTTCAATTATCGAATTAGTTATTTCAATGAATGCTTAGAGTGCAAGTTTTTTTTTTCAATCAATTCTGCAATGTTCTCGGCGTGAGCACTGTCGCCCGTAAAAATTCTAGTCATATAATAATCTTCTTTCTAGAAATTTTTGAAATGCCGTTTTTACGTGAGTGTTCTTCACAGACATATGATACGGCCCCTGGAGAGAAAGATCATGGAAGCGCGGGAGATATACCGCATCAAGCCAGAAATAAATGCGAAAGAAGAGCTACGTGACCTTCTGAGGCTTTTGGCATGATCAGTGAGCTCCTTTCCCTCAGGATTGGCGTCTCATTTTCATTCCCGAGCCACCCCGATAGGCCGCCCTCTTCTCTCTCCTTTCTGGTATGTATCGATGCAACATGTCCTTTGTCTTGTTGTATTTGTAATTATTGTAATTTTAAGGTTGGTCTGATGATGGCATTATTGCCGAAAGCTCACCAATAAATATAAGACCAAGAGCTTCAAGAACATATTATTGAACACAAACTTCTTTCTATTCCATTCATGAAATATTTAGAGCACCTTGGAAGTCTTATGTTGCGGGCATAATCGCCACTGCACCTATTGCACTGTTGATTGATTGCGTAGCGAAGTGCGATTAGAGCTAGAATTGGAGTTCTCTAAAAAGAATCGAAATTGGAATGTTCTAGTGAGTCACCGTATTTGGCGTCACATCCACATGATGCATATGTTATTTATTGGAATATTGTGGCGAAGAACTTGCGGCCACCGAAACTTTCATGCCACGAGCTCCTGTCGCGTTTTTATGAAAAGTAAGTTTGACGATAGCATACGTCTCCGAGACTACCTAGTTTTCTTGCGAGCATGAAAACCTTGAATATCTGCACTCGTGTAGTGTCTTCATTTCCTCTACGTCTATTTTAACACGCTTACTCGGTGCATTTTTTCTTCAAGTCTCTTCTAAATCCATTAAGAGTTCTATCTGAAATTACGCTAATCCTCTCTCGTATTTCTGTGTGTTGGGATGCCTTGTTTGCTCGATATTTCAACGGGAACTACTATTTTCCTCCTAGATGTTGGCATGACGATCCAGACCAGAGACCAACCAGCGAAGATCTAATGAAATACTTTTCCGTTCTGAAAAAGGTAGGTTGAGAATTCATCAAA